CCTAGAGATGGAATGTATGATCTCGGTGTAGTGCATTTGTTACAACAGAAAGATGCAAGTCAAAGACAAAGCCATTCTTGACTTCTTGCCCATTCTAAGCTCCCAGGACAAGCCAAAATCAAGAGTTCTAGCCTTCTAATTCAGCAATTACCATAGCAACAGTAGTCTTATTCAAACAAAGAAGGACAGTTCAGGCCTCTCAGCTTTTTCTATACCTAAGACATGTATACACTTATAAATGAATAACTCAGGCCCTTCTATGGTTCCAAATATAATGGAAGTAATTTAAAGCTTCCAGAATATGCAAATTCCTGCTGTGCTGAAAGTAAGCTGAAATATGGGGGATAGGAAAAATTTCTTATATCTACACAGCATGCTTTATGTAACAATAGATTATAGTTTATGAGACAGGGAAAAGGAAATTTTAATTAAAGAATTTTAGTATAACATCTCCTGGTATCTCTTAGTTTATATACTTGCATCTATCGAAAAACAAGAGCCTCTTCCATAAAGTTCTAAGAAATCAAGTACCAGAGGCCAGGCATAGTGGCTCATGTCTGTAATCCCAGCACTACCATAGGTCAAGGCAGGCAGATCCCTTGACCCCAGAAGTTCAAAACCATCCTGGGCAACATGGTAAAACCCCATCTCTACAAAACATACAAAAATTGGCTGGGCATGGTGGCATACACCTGTAGTCCTAGCTACCTGGGAGACTGAGGCAGGAGGATTGCTTGAGCCTGGGTGGTCAAGGCTTCAGTGAGCTGTGATCCTGTCACTGCACTCCAGCCTGGGCAATAGAGTGAGACCATCTCAAAAAAGAGAAAGAAAGTACCAGAAAGGCAAGAATATTTTGTCAAGGAACAAGATCCAGGAGTCATACCTTGGATTTTCATTTCATAACTTTCAACACGTAAGTTGAAACAAAGAGTCGACCATCCATAGGTATATAAAACACAACAAACCTTGGGAACTTTGTAAGCTAACTTTTACATTATTCAAACTTTAGCTTCAGATGAAAAGTCACTAAGGAAAAATCTTTATTCCTTCATTTTAAGTATCATCACATAAGGTTGCCAGAAAATAATGGTCAAAGTTTTTATTAAGGACATTGCTTATTTACCTTCTAATAATATAAACAAAATACAACTAGGTATTTTGAATTCACAAATACCTAGGTATTAACTCTCTTGGAGGTATTCATTTCAACCCTAATAAAACTTTAAGGAGACAGAAATTAATGGGTAGCAAAAGTTTAAGATAAACAAAGCTAATAAGTATTGATAACAAGTACTGATCACCCTGCGCGTGTTATCTCTGTTAAGTTGTGGCAGGTGATCTTAGCTGCTAAGAACTGAGAAAGTGAAAGTGGGATTTACCATTATGATTTGTGAGAAGCTTGTTAACAACCCCAGTATCTTTTTTTATTATTTTTGAGACAGAGTCTCACTCTCTCACCCACCCTGGAGTTCAGTGGTGCAATCTCGGCTCACTGCAAACTCCACCTCCCAGGTTCAAGCAATTCTCATGTGTTAGCCACCGAGTAACTGGGATTACTGGTGTGCACCACCATGCCCAGGTAATTTTTTTTATATTTTTAGTAGAGACAGGGTTTCAGCATCTTGGCCAGGCTGGTCTCGAACGCCTAGGCTCAAGTGATCCACCCTTCAAGGCCTCCCAAAGTGCTGAAATTACAGGTATGAGCCAGTGTGTCCAGCCCAACAACTCCAATGCTTAGCCCCTTAATAGAACCTGGAGCGGGCTAGGTGTGGTGGCTCACACCTGTAATACCAGCACTTTGTGAGGCTGAGGCAGGTGGATCACTTGAGATCGGCAGTTCAAAACCAGCCTGGCCAACACGGTGCAACCCCGTCTCTATTAAAAATACAAAAAATTAGCCGGGTGTGGTGGCACATACCTGGAATCTCCGCTACTCAAGAAGCTGAGGCAGGAGAGTCGCTTGAACCCGGGAGGTAAAAGTTGCAGTGAGCCAAGATTGGGATACTGCACTCCATGATGGGAGAAGGATTGAGACTCTATCTCAAAAAAAAAAAAAAAAAAAAAAAAAGAAGCTGGAGCAGATCCACCATATAATATGTACTGACAATCTTTCCTCCAGCTAAAGATTGCAATGGCCTTCTCAGTAGCCTCTGATGATTCTGTCTTACTCTTTCTCACCTTGTGTATTTTCTAGTACCTTTGCCATCTGGGTATCCCCTTCTCCCAGAACTTTCAAATACTTCCAGATCTAGTTGTTTAAAAATCATTTCCAAAAATCACTCCTACCTCTAAACTTCTGTTAAGTGTGAGTATTCTACTCATATTGAAAGTAGTTATGCATGGCCTGGTGAGAGTTCTTAGGCTGGATAGTTAACCTTCCTTATTTATTTTAATAATTTAACTTTAATATATTTTAGCTCCTTGAGCATATTATATTTCTGTTTATAGATATAGAAGGTGCTATGAAATATTTATTGGTTTGATTTTAACACTATTCATCACTTTTTTCAATCATCATTACTGCTGATTAAACAAACTTAAAAAATATAGAGGAAGAAGACAGTACTCTACTTCACTTCAAAACTAATTTGAAACAACTGCTTTGGGCTATTGCAAGTAATCGTAAAAACAAACAAAAACACAAACCCTGGCCAGGCATGGTATCTCATGCCTGTAATCCCTAAAGGGAGTATTGCTCTAGCGCCCAAAGTGGAATGCAGTGGCATGATCATGGCTCGCTGCAGCCTTGAAATCCTGGGCTCTAAGGATTCTTCTGCCTCAGCCTCCTGAGTCCTGTGACCACAAGTACATACCACAACCCCTAGCTAATTTTTAAATTTTTTTGTAGAGACAGGGTCTCCCTATGTTGCCAAGGGTAGTCTTAAACTCCTGGCCTCAAGTGATCCTCTTGCTTCAGCCTCCCAAAGTACTGTTATTTTTGCATTAATGTGGAGGGATACTAACTGGTTTGAAAAAAAAGAAAAAAATCTTGGCAGCCAATGAAGCCAAAATTTTAGCTCAGTCACCTGTCCTTTTTCCAATTCAAGAAAAAAATCTTGGCGGCCAATGAAGCCAAAATTTTAACTCAGTCACCTGTCTTTTTTTCCAATTCAATGTCAAATTTATATAGACATACATTTATTCTTTCAAAAATGAATATATCACAAGAAGATATATAACAAAGAACAATGCTGTTGGAGAGGAGTCCCAGTTTACTCTATAGCCTGGGCTCTGGACAGTACTACATGAGGATCATCTCCACAGGGATATAACCATGACCTACTTTGAAAGATCTCAAGAAGAGAATATTTCACATTCTCACTGGCTAACCCTTACCAGGGCCTTGGAGATGTCAGGAAATTGTTCTTGCTACAATTTATACTTACTGTCTCTTTTCACCACTGGATGTAGAAGATAAGTTTTAGAACTTTATACCTAAAGACGCTTACTGTATCACTCTGTCCTTCCTTGTCTTTAATTTCCATTTCTGCTTCACACAGTTATTGTAAGGATCACTTGAAATGGAATACATCAAAGCACCTAGCTCTGTACCTGACACAGAGTAAACATATACTAGCATATACTACACCTTTCTTTCCTTTCTAACTAGGGACAAAACTGATGATCAGAACTCAAGGCAGTTGGGGTATTCTAATTAGAATCTCATAGTGAATGCACAGGTACACCCAAAAATCTGTAAGTTCATATATTTTATTTGGCATTTTCTTTACTTTTATTTTTGTTTTTGTGTTTTTTGTTTGTTCGTTTGTTTTTGAGGCAGAGTCTTAATCTGTCACCCAGGCTGGAGTGCAGTGGCATAATCACAGCTCACAGCAGGCTCAGTCTCCGGGGCTCAATCAATCTTCTCAGCTCAGCCTCTGGAGTAGCTAAGACTATAGTCACATGCCACCATGCCCAGTTAATTTTTGGATTTTTTTGTAAAGATGGGTTTTGTCATGTTGCCTAGGCTGGTCTTGAACGCCTAGGGCCAAGTGATCTTCCCCCTTGCACTCCTGAAGTGCTGGGATTACAAGCATGAGCCACTGCGACCAGCCAGCATTTTCAGTAATATTATAAAACCAGATTCTAATTGTTCTTTTCTGCCCACCCTAGTCAATTTTTATCCAACTCCCAAATTTTTAACTATTATGATTTCTTTTAAAGCTTAGATATTCTAAACTAAAATAGCTCGAGAAACATATACTATAAATAGATACCCTTTGTGAAAATTTTTTCCTTAAAATTATTCCTAGCCTCACCTAAACCTTATTCAGTCACATTGCCACTTAAAATGTTTTTTGCTCTTCTTACAGTTACTGTAAATGTGCTCCTCCCTCCCTTTCAAAATGTGAAATCCTGTCAGAAAAGGCAGATTTTATAAAATCAAACACCTACAGTAACATTGCAACATGCTAGAATATAACTGTGAGAGAAAATTAATTCAGTAAAATGGTATCTTGTTACTTCAGTCTGCAACTCTCATCTCTTTTCTAATGATTTTAAAAGTCAGAACAGTCCATATGCTTCTTACAATATCAGCGTTTTCCGCTGAATTTTCTCCTTCAGCCTTAAGATTGTTTCGATTCTGAAAGTAATATTAAAAAAGAAAAAAGGAAAAACTACCAAAGCTTGTTTTTTCAGATTACTACTTGAAGGATAGTTTGGAAAAATTCTGTTTTCACTTTCATCCTTCTTTGCCTCAAAACAAACATGGCTTTTTGTCATAATCAAATGGTATGACAGATGTTAAATGAACCCTTTGATTTACAACCACCTTATTTTCAAATGCCACTATATTCCTGAGAATTTTTTTCTTTAGTCTGACAATACAGCAAGAGCCAGTTAAAACAACAGAATTTTCTAAAACAAGTTGTGTAACCTAAGTTCTGATAAAGATTGCCCAGAAACTCAATAGAATAAATAATGAGATTCTTATTAGATTGTCTTTCTTATCCAAGAGAAATCTAGTTTTTACAAATCTTAACTAGAATAATGGTTACCTTAAGGAGATACTGTATTCAGGATAGAAGATGCTTGTATATTGGACCCATGCACCAACCTCCTCTTCAGTTTCCCTTTTTTTGGCTTCTGTTACTGAAAATAGATTAAATGATTCAAATCTTCTTACAGATACATGTCGCAGACAATCATCCAGGTGTTTCTGTTTCAGAACCTTTGAAACAAAACCAAATATTGCAGTCATGTAATATAAACAGTAAGTGTTCAAAACATTCAAAATTTAAATGGGAAGGGGTCTTTCCCTTCCAATAATTAAAGATTAGATAATTCAGACATAATACTCAAATAACTACAAAAGATGAACAAAATATTTTAAAACAATACTTGAAGGCATCAGAGAGCAAAGATAGTGAAGATTTACAAGTATGACATCTTTTTTTTTTTTTTGAGACAGGATTTTACTCTGTCAGCCAGCCTCACTGTCACCCAGCCTGTCACCCAGCTGGGTCCAGGTGATCCTCCTACCTCAGGATCCCTAGTAGTTAGAATTACAAACATGCACCACCACATCTGGCTAATTTTTAAAAATTTTTTGTAGAGTTGGGGTCTCCCTTTGTTACCCAGGCTGGACTCAAACTCCAGACCTCAAGTGATCTCCAGCCCTGGCCTCCCAAAGTGCTGGCATTACAGGTACGAGCCACAGCACCCAGCCCCCAGTCTGATATCTTTAAAAGGAGAAAACCTAGAGAGGTTACTCTGACTTTTCCAACCACTTTTTCTCCTGGGGATATTTGTCAATTCTGAAACAAAGAGCTGAGAAGACAAGCTGCACCTGTAGCAGCCTATGGAGCAAGGAGGGAAAAGCTGAATTTCAAAGCTTACCTAGGAATGGGGAGATATATTATTTCGAGCATGCAAGGTATATATGTTTTAGTGTAATGAATAATTTTGCCAGTATTGCTGAAAGCCAGGTTTTTAAGTGTGGGAAATATAAATTAATAGTAATGTTTGGATCTTATTTGGACCCTGTTCCAAAATAATCAAATTATAAAGAAAAATTATGAAAAAATGAGGAAAATTTGAAAACTGATCAGCTATTTCATGGTATTGTGATTTTTCCTAATGTCATTTTTATAAATTCATAATGAAATATTTAAAGAAAAAATGACATCTGAGATTTGCTTCAAAATAATAGTGGTGGGACATGGGGAGAAGTGAGATTAAACACAGTTGTTCATGAGTTAAAAATTGTTGAAGCTAGGCAGGTACGATGGCTCACATCTATAATCCCAGCACTCTGGGAGGCCAAGGTGGGTGGATCACAAGGTCAGGAGCCTGACCAATATGGTGAAACCCCATGTCTACTAAAAATACAAGAAAATTAGCTGGGCGTGGTGGCGCATGCCTGTAATCCCAGCTACTCAGATGGCTGAGGCAGGAGAATTGCTTGAACGTGGAAGGCAGAGGTTGCACCACTGCATGCCAGCCTAGGCGACAGAGCAAGACTCTGTCTCAAACAAACAAACAAAAAAACCTCAAACAACACTATAGGATAGATACCCATCATGTGAAATAACTACAACACACGGCAGTTAAGCAATTTGCCTGACAGACAGCTCGTAAGAGGTAAAGCCAAAGTTAAAATCCAGGTTGCCTAACTATGGACCCTAAATTTTTAACACCTTTGCTTGCAGAGACTATAAACAGGCATCACCTATCAATTCCAGCTTCCAAGATACCTTTCTATTTTATTTTATTTTATGGTGAAAAGATATACATATATTTAGAATTAGCCAGCTGGACTCAGTTTAGATGATCCCAATTTTGTTGGCAACATCCAAAGCATCGTAATCAGGAGCCAGTCGAACATATGCCTTCTTCTCTCCATCAGGCCGAATCAGGGTGTTGACCTTGGCCACATCAATGTCATAGAGCTTCTTCACAGCCTGTTTGATCTGGTGCTTGTTGGCTTTAACATCCACAATGAACACAAGTGTGTTGTCTTCTATCTTCCTCATGGCAGACTCAGTGGTCAGCGGAAACTTGATGATGGCATAGTGGTCCAGTTTGTTTCTCCTGGGGGCGCTCTTCCGAGGATATTCGGGCTGCCTCCGGAGTCGCAGTGTCTTGGGCTGCCAGAAGGTGGGTGACGTGCGGATCTTCTTTTTTTTTTGGACACCTTTCAACACTGCCTTCTTGGCCTTTAAAGCCTTCGCTTTGGCTTCGGCTTTAGGAGGGAGCAGGAGCTTTCTTCTTCGCTTTCGGCGCCATCTTGTGAAAAGGGTCCGATACCTTGCTATTTTACATAGCTGAAAAGCTAGAAACTATATATCCCTGAATCCTTAGCAGCCAGAGTTTCAGATGTGATTTTGGTTTAAACATCAGCCGCACTAACATGAGCTTTGAAAGAAGGAAAGATGGTGTTAACTATAATTCACCAACTTGTGTTGGTTAGAATAGTTGTAAAAATATTTGGTTTTTCTGAAGCAGCTTTAACAGAGGTCCCACTGTTGACTCTCTAATTTAATGGAGAGTGAAAGGGAAGCACAAGTGGCATCACCTCTGCTGGTACAGATCTAGAAGAAGGTATGCTTCTAGAATCTGTAGTTATGGAACAGCTTCTGATCATCAGAGATCACAGCTAACGTGATGTGACCCTGGAGACAGCTTCAGGTTCTTTATTGTGGTAAAGGTAGTATTTCTCTTGACTGGCCAGCTCCAGCTTTATACTGTTCTGGGACTCTGTTGTTCTGGGATTCATTCTTAGCCTGTTTCTCCAATGATTTTGTCAGCACTTAATTCACTACATTAAGCCCCTTTCTGCTTAAAGTAGCTAGAGTGGTTTCTATTTTCTAAAAAGGAACACTTATTCCAATGACGCATAATTCTTATGTGTATAAGGGCAAACCGAGGTCAAAACAAGCAAGAAAATGTATCAGTATGAATATATCTCATAGGAAAAATGTTTAAATTTTATATACTATGTAGAAATTTTAGAAGGGTAGTTTTTTAAATGGAAGATCAGAAAAGGCAGCCTCTCTTTGAAGGTTTTATTTAATTGTTTAAAAGCCTTAATCAAAAACAGAGTCATGGCCAGGCAGGGTGGCTCGCATCTGTAATCCCAGCACTTTCAGAGGCAAAGCTGGGTAGATCGCTTAAGGCCAGGAGTTCAAAACCAGCCTGGCCAACACGGTGAAACCTCATCTCTACTAAAAATACAAAAATTAGGCAGTGCATGGCGTGCACCTGTAATCCCAGCTTCTTAGGAGGCTAAGGCACAAGAATTGCTTGAGCCTGGAAGGCGGAAGGCACAGGAGCCACAAGAATTGCTTGGGCCAGATCACACTACTGCACTCCAGCCTGGGCAACAGAGCAAGACTCTGTTTTTAAAAAAAAAAAAAAAAAATACATGATGATCTCACTCCAACTTGAACTCTCTCACTGATTATTTGATGACAATAAAAGATCTGATATTCTGCATTCCCCATGTAGCAAAAAAAAAAACAAAAGAAAAAAAAATACAGTCTTCTTATTGTCTGTCAACTATGGTCAACAGGAAGAAAAACAAACTACTCAACAGAGCTTACTCTTAAGAAAAAAACAAAGTATTAAATTCAAAAAATAAAATAAAATGCAGATATTATAAATTATCTTCAATCTTGCCCAGTTAAATTCCAAACAGTAAGTACCTTTTTATAGTCTAAATTACTCTGATGTCAAGGTTATGGCACCATAAACCACTAAGATAAAAAATAATTTAAGTCATTTATGTGTATAATACTGGAAGGGGCTTTCATAGTTTATTTTAAAGCCATCAATAATATTTGTAGTTTTATGAATTGAGAGAATACTCAAATCTCCCATCAAGATAATCTACCACTTTTAGAAGACCTCCTTCAAATACCCATGTTCCATAACTAAATGAAATTCAAATGAAATTATCTGGGGCAAAGGAATTAGTCAAGGCACTTTCTCATTCCCCTAAGTAAGTCAATGAGCTATTTAATCAAATATCAATGCTATACCAAATAAGTTCACGTCAAAAGATTAAGTATCAGAAGAAGGAAAAAAAGACATCAAGTCCTACGGTCCCTAAACCCATCAGGTAAACAATGTATGCAACTGAACACAATGGAAATCAAAGACTCATTTATTAACTTGAAACGTTTACTCCAGAACTAACTGAACTGATCATAACTATATAGAAGCACTTATGAAGACTAGATGTAGCAGTTGGATAGAGGAGTAAGGCTAGACACAGAAGTACTGTGTCTATCATCACCAGGCAACTACACTTCCCTACAATGGAATTTTAATAGGTAAATTGCTAGAGAAGATGAGTAACAGTTCTGACCTTAAACATCAAGTATTAGCTTAAAGTGGTATAAGAGGCTCTTCATTCTGATCAATATTCCTTTTCTTCATTAAGCTTCTAGATTACAATAGGCAGCTAGTCTTGTATCTGCCAGAGAGGAGATTGCAATATAGATTGAGAATCCCTTATCCAAAATGTTTGGAACCAGAAATGTTTTGGATTTTGAATTTGTTCAGACTTTGGATTTGTTTGGATTTGGGAATATTTGCAAAACAGAAAGAAAAAGCTTGGAATGGGACCCAAGTCTAAGTATCAAATTCATTTATTTTTTATATATACCTTATACACACAGCCTGAAGGTAATTTTATATAATTTTTAAAATAATTTTACACATAAAACAAAGTTTTGACTTGCAACTCATCACAAGAGGTCGAGCATGGAATTTTCCATTTGTAGCAACACATTGGTTCTCAAAAAGTTTTGGATACTGGAGCATTTAAGGTTTCAAATTTTTGAATTAGGGATGCTTAACCTGGTTTTCTTTCTGGGATATTGGAACAAGAAATAAAGAGCTGTAGATAATGACATTTGGAATCCCAGCACTTTGGAAGGCTGAGGTGGGCAGATTTCTTGAGCTCAGGAGTTCCAGACCAGCCTGGACAACATGACAAAACCCCATCCCTACCAAAGAAAAATACAAAAATTATCCAGGCATGGTGGCATGCACCTATAGTCCCGGCTACTCGGGAGACTAAGGCATGAGAATTGTTTGAACCCAGGAAATGGAGGTTGCAGTGAGCTGAGATCACACCATTGCACTTCAGCCTGGGTGATGGAGTGAGACTCTGTCTCAAAAAATAATAATAGTAGCTACTATTTATTGTGAGTCTATGATGTG